AATGTCTTATAATTATAAGAGTGTTGACGATGTGTTGCCTGGCCTCAACAACCATTGCGTTGGGGTATCTTGGTATATATATAATTACAGTGGAAACCCACTCGAAAACGTTCGCTTAATGGGCAGGAGAGATCAGGTATCAATCTTCAGGTGCAGTATCACCAGCGAAATTATATTGTGTCCGGGTAGACTGATCGCTTAGTAAATACGCTATATTTAAATTACACATTATTACCAAACGTGATTGCCACTGGCGCTACGAGAGTGGACAGGCTTCGCCCTATGGCAGCTAGCGCAGACCATTGAGTCACTACTAGAACGTTGCACATGACAACATGGTCATCCTGTGCTATACAAAGTCACACACACAAGCAGCGAAGTTTTCTCTCCCTCGGGTCACTCACTGCATGTTTTAGGGGGGTTAAAACCCTGAAAACCCTACCACCCCAGTATCATACGACACTATTATACCGACTGTGCGCATACTATACCCTTCTGTCCATCACAAATTGAACGAGATGGTTATGAGGTGCTTTGCGCCGGTAAATAGTACCAATACGACGATTTAGTATACACCGGTAAATTAAACAAATAATAACGATTTAGTATACGCCGGTAAATTATACTATTACGACGATTTCGAACACCCCGGTAAACCATACTAACACAACGATTTAGCATACGCAGGTAAATTATACTATCACGACGATTTAGAATACGCCGGTAAATTGTACAAACATGCCGATTTAGCATACGCCGGTAAATTGTACTAACACGGCCATCTCGTGCGTTGTACTACTCCTGGGGCGCAGTCAAACAGACAATGAGGTCCTCTCTCCGTCTGCCAAACGGCTGAACTCAGAACCGGTGTCATTGGACGAAGGGAAGAGCCCGCCACGCCAACGGGCGAAGAGTCTGGGACGATCCATGATTGACAAGATCACCAACAAGGACAGGGACAGAGACAGGGTATGTGCTAGCAATTGCGTAGCAAAGGCTGTCTGGCCATTGACAATGGTATTGGCAAGGGTACGGACAAAGCAACACACCACTCAATACGAAACAGCTATCGAATTCGATATTTATGTCAAGGGTTTAATAATTATGTCATAGTTTTAATATTTATGTCAAGGTTTGGCATGGGCAATGTAGGTGAAGGTGGGAGTTACAACGTACAATGAGGTTATGGGGTACACAGGTGGCATACAATACGGGTTTATGGCATGGAAGACTTACTTTGAACCTGGAAACGCTTAGAACGCACTTAGTTTAATATGTCTTAAAGCTAGTTGGAACGCTTTCATGCGTGCAATACAGCCATGAGAGGGCAAGGAAAGGGCTTTAAGTTCACGAACAATGGGATAAATTGTACATGCTGCTTCTAGCTGTCAGTATAGACTGGAATACGAGTGCGAGTACCGGGTTGTATTTCTCTCACTGTCCATACCGCTTGGGGTTAATAGTAGGTGTTATCCATTGAAAGAAATCGGCATGGCAACTATATTCTGTGTATCAGAGCATATACCATTGTATGTGTGTGTATTTGTATGTGTTTGTGTATGTTGTATGTATATATGTATGTGTGTGTTGTATTTGTGCGCGCGTTTGTGTGTGCATATATATATATATATATATATATATATTGCATATACATGTGTGTATAATATACGTGTGTATGTGTGTGTGTGTGTGAAATATGTGTGTATGTATGTTGTGGGTTGGCACTATACGAATCATATCGAACACGTCGTACGGGCTTGTCCACGTGCCAGAAAAAACTCTAAGCCCTAAACCCTAAACCCTAAACCGTTAACCGTAAACACTATCAATGTCTCAAGTGCTATGGTATAGCGTGCCGTGCAATCATTAAAACTGAAACCCTAAAACTAAAACCCTAAAGCTATTGCGGCAGCACAAAACAACATGCTGGCCTGTCAGAGTCCAAACCATGATCCGTCACGTGCACACTTGTTCTAACAACTCTAAAACCCCATAACCCTAAAACCCTAACCCTGGAACCCCAAAGCCCTTGTCCAATCCCCAACACGTTCTGCACCAATCACTGCATACATGACACTCACAGCCCACGCTTCACACCTACCAATGCAACCCCTGCAGCCGCATAGCACCTCACACGAGCGGACCAGAGACAGGCACGCGTCCACTACACTCGGCGATGCAGAGACCATGTCTACAGCGTCTGTGCTAAGCCATCGCAATACCTCAGGGGTATGTATGTGGTGCATGTGTTGTGATGGTTATTGCTCAAAGGTGTGTGGTGTATTTATGTTGCTCAGAGGTGCGTGGTGGATGTATGGTTATTGCTTAGAGGTGTGTGGTGTATGTGTTGTGATGGTTATTGCTCAGACGTGTGTGGTGTATGTGTTGTGACAGTTATTGTTTAAAGGTTTGTGGTGTGTGTGGTGAGGAAGGGTTGTATATTCCGAGTGGTCCTTTGGTAGGGGTGTTATAGCTGTATGTGGTATCTCGGTTGTACCGACTGTTGCTTTCCCAGTGCATAGACCGCTGGCTGTAACATGTCACATGGCTGTTGACACATGCTCTGTTCTTTTGGCTGTACACGTATTCACTCTGCGTGGCCTAGTCGCTTGTCTGCAGTTGGTCTTCAGTTGGCTTCAGTCATTCTATATATCCATGGGACTGTGACATGGCCACATATTTATTATTGGATAGATCGATGTTCATTAGACATTCAGACCAATCATAAGTGTGCTGAGGAGTATATCGGTATGTGGCTTCCCCTTACATGCAAGGGCCATCTCTCTCACTATAGACTAACTGAGTTCCAAGGCATGAGCTGGTCAGTGATCACACCCCCACACACAGTGTTTGAATCTATAACCCAAAACCCAAAACCCAACATACAGTACAAAAGCACATGCCGCACATCAGTATACCGCTCATGTGGTGTGCGGTGGAAGCACTGTGATTCTGTGTGATGTATTGGTCACATCGATTATATACGATGTACCAATTTTACTAAGGTTTGTAACCTAAAACCCCCTAAACCACAAACCCTATAAGCGTATCTGTACTGCCGAGTATGTTCCGTATTCTATTTACATAACTATTGCTTCCATTTCTGCATACGACACGTCTGGTGTGAGCATATCTGCAGGGCACTGACAAAGAGGAGAAGCGCACCAGCAGTACATTCAACAAGATCAGGGTGAGTCATGTGGCATATCCCAGTTCAGCTCACTAGCGTATAGTTAAGATTACTAATAGACAAGGACATACAACAAGATCAAGGTGAATCATAAGACATATCCCAGTTCAGCTCGCTAGCGTATAGTTAAGATTACTAATAGACATTAACATTCAACAAGATCAAGGTGAGTCATGGGGCATGTCCCAATACAAGTCACGATGTGCATACCTTTGAACGGGTGCACTCGACTAATCTGTAAACCTCTCCCGCACCTGCGATTGCACCGGCATCTGGACATATGTCTTAGGACAAGTTGCATGTCCACACCAGCACAACTAACCGAGATCTCAGCGCACCTCCCAAGTTACCCGATCCCAATTCAGTCTATACGCCGCCTGTCAGGATATCCCACACAACTGACATGCCCAATGACACCACCGATGACACCGCCTACTTTGTTTGGATGAGAATCATCAAGGCCAAGAATCTCCCCAGTAAGTCAATCCGGTATCCATACACGGTTGTGGGACGGATATATATATATATATATATATATGTATATATATATATGTATATATATGTATATATATATATATATATATATATATATATATATATATATATATATATATATATATATATATATATATATATATATAATATATATATATATATATTATTATTATATATATATATATATATAT